TAAAAAATATATATATATATTTAAAAAAATATATATATAAAATACATATTGCTTATTAAATATATACTAACTTCATAGCTTTGCGATGCATATCCACAGCACAAATTAATCCCTTGTATATCAAATATTTGTTTTGCAAGCTGTTTTTTCGTAGAATTTCGAGTGTCATTGTACGTGCGATACGATAACTGCAAATGATTGTTTTGGCATCATTAAATGGCCTTTCTGTTTTTCCAATTAGATAGATCTTTTATATTTGTTTTTATATTTATTCCCTTACCAGGTAATTCGAAACATTCCACATGCATGTTGTAAGTAAACTATGAACATTGTTCCTGTCGCTATCATTGCAATTAACCCAATAAAAAAGGCTGCATTTGTATGGAAATATATCAAGTAGAAGTATCTTTTATCGACAAAGTATTCTGTCACAAGCAGCGGCGAAATACGTGCGCGAGTTTCATTTATAGACAATAAGGTGTAAAAAACGCGCGACCAAATTGGGTATAAAATTAAAATAATTGCGATAAATATAACAAGCACTGAAAAATGTTTAAGGATCAATTATTTCGATAAGAAATTTATTATAAACTCGCAGCGCGTTTAGTTTTCTAAATACAATATTCGAAATATAATAATTCGCGTTCAAAGTAAATTTAAAGCAGTTGTCTTACATGTAAACGTAATCGTGTAACGTTTTGCATAGATAGCATACTGTTTTATGATATTGATTTCATTTTCGTCAGTTAACTCGTTACAAGTATCCTGCAGCTGCTCCAGCAAACACTTTATCTGTCAATATTGCGTACTATTTCTTTTAATCATATTTAAAAAAATTTTTTTTTATTGTATTCTATAAAAAAACCTTTTTTTGGAAATATTTCCGAAGAATTGATCTTTTCATACAATACAACTTGTTTCCCAAAAATAATACACATATGAATACAATATACATATAATATACCGGATGACACTCGAGAAATTATTAAAGCTGAGTAGCTAATATTTATGTAATTAATCAACAAAATGAAATAAATTAAACATATTATACTGCAGAAGAATTTCATAATTATTATCTACATATTGCGTAAAAAGAATATTTGTTTATATACATGTAAAAATAAAATCTATAAAACAAAAAAAATTTGGTTAATTGCATAACTCAATAATATAACATGTGTATTTAGGAAATATCGACACGGATACTTCGAGGGGATACTTTCATAAAAGAAATATTCCCAGGATTCTTCAAAAGCATACAGTTTCACTTATTAATGTTAGATAGCATATGTAAATTTTTAAAGTTTTGAAGAACGCCTCAATTATTGTGTCAGTTCAGTAGCCATCTTGAACTGATTGTTGAGTTATGCTATAAACTGTATTGTTGACCCTTTTTTATAATATTAATTTTTACAAATTTATATATAACTTTTCTTTTACACTACATGCTGGTACAAAAAACTTTAGTCTAAAAAAACTGTTCTCTTTCTGTAGCGTTTAATTTATTTTCTGCTTTTGATACGATTTAGTTTCACGAACTTCCCAATTGTCATCCAGTATGTTTTACTTACGACTTCAACGTTAATACTAAATGAACTATATTTAATTGCAAAGGTAATGTAAAATAATGCAGATGCAAAAACATTAATGAGGAGATCTGGAGTACATTGTGATGTCAGAAATGTTGCAAACTGCAAAGAAATTTTTTTATATAATTTTACACTGAAATTATTATCTATTTTTTTATACAACCAAAGAAAGGTTCTAAGTCTTTAATCGTTTTACAATGTACCATAATTTAACATGAGAAAGCTATTTAACTTCAATATATATTAAGCAAAACTAAAAATCAAATTTTTTTTATATGTAATAACAAACACATGTTATAAAATCAATATCAATATATTTAATATTGTGACGGTTTTATAATTTTGATATATTAAAACGCAAAATAAAAGATTGCTAAAAATAACGTTATATTTTTTATCTTGTTATTATATAATTAAAATTATTAACATACTTGACCTAGGATGAAGGTCGTCAAAACACTAAAAAGCAAGGTGAACTGGAGTTGAACAAGTTTAGACCTTTGATAAGGCCACAGACCAACTGTGAGTAATAGAAACCGATTGAGGCTAATATGTAAAGAGTCGATACAGATCATTTCTCCACGAGCAAGCAGATGTGTGTATGACACCGGAGAGGCCAGTTCGCTTATTTTTTCTTCTTTTATCAGTTGCATATTTTATTGCTCCATTTTTATTCATACTCTAGCTCAAATTCTAACGTAAATGATCTAATTTAACGAAAATGTAACAAAATATTACAGAGATCGGAACACGCGCAATTTAACAATTTTATCTGTAAATAAGTCGGTGATTAAGCGACATAAGATAATAGAACAGATGTTTATTTCTCATAGGTAAATACTTATAAATTCTCTGAAAAAATATGACGATATACCACTGTGTGATCAAAGTACCTTATAAAACAATTTTTACTGGCTATTTTGCACCTTTTTTTTTAAAGAGGAGTGTGTGTAGTGCAATCGATTGATTTGAGTACGGCAGCAACGTAATAATAATAACAGATGTTTATTTCCCATAAAGAAATACTTCGCGAAGAGGGTTGCGTGACAGCGTACGTGACAGCGGACTGCGCAGATGCGTTTCTACCCCTTCCATTGCAGCGCGTTATACCGTAACGTTCCTCATTCTAGTGCGTGCTGTCTTGAGTTACGGTTATTTCTTCGCAATGGTATGTACAACTTGCACTTGAAATGTCGACGTAACGGTTGTCAATGTATATTGCTGATAAATGTTACATATAATTCCTTCTTGAAAATATCTTTGATTCGAGTATATTTGTATTTTCTAAATGGCGTTTTCTTACTTTTGTTTGCCGATTGAATATTCTATAGTTTTGTTTCTTTTTTTATTTAAATATTCAGCTGAGTTGCCTAATTTTATTGACATGTAGTGCACAGTGAACGAAACACCGCCGTGAGATCAATATATTTGACCATTTACATTTTTATTCTAGAAAGGATGTATAGTTAAATGATCGATTTTTATGTCACAATAAAGTAATAGATGTTTCCATCAGCAAGTGTTTTGTTGAGGGACTTGTGCGACAGTTGACTGTGCAAGTGGGGTTCGACCCCTTCCAGCGTAATATATTTTATTTTAACGTTCTTCTTTCTGGTGTGTGCTACTGTCTTAAATGACGTTTGATTTTTGAAGAAGAATCTTAGCTCGATACCTCGACGTAATGATTATCAAATATGAATTGTTGGTAAATGTCATGAAGTGTTTCAGTGAAAATATTTCTATTTTGTGTACGTTTGTGTGTTTTCTAAATTTTATTTCCCAAAATCTTACATTCATATGTGTTCAACATACCTTGTATCTGTACGATATATTTTATATTTACATTTCGGACTTCATATCGCAATATCTCCGTTCGTAGGATACGTAGAGGAAAAATAAAAACACTTTCCCCTTATGTAAATCGAATCCAAGCTATCGATTGAGCTTACTTAGAACTTAATCGATTTAGCCGTTATTAAGATCCGATAATCTCGGGTACTCGCAACTCTTGGGCTCGAGTAAAGATACACGGAGCGATCTCGCTGCGCTATACTTGGCGCGAGACACTACCGTGTCTCTTGGTATTATTTCTGTAACACTACTTGTGAACAAAGTTATAATTTTATAAATGTAAACTTTTGCCACCCCCCCGCAGATAGTAATCAATATTTTCTCTACATTTTTTTACATATATTGTTCTCAAGTTATTTATCGTGCAAATATGGATTAATTTGTGGGGAAACTCTTTCATCTATATGAAATAAATAGATATTGAACATATATAATATTAAATAGTATTCAAAATTAAACAATGTTTACGTTTTATATATGAGAATAAAACTCTAATGACAATTTTCGATGTAATTTAATAGTTAAATTATCCAAAATTTTATTGTATTTACAAAAAGAAACTTATTTCGTAAAAGTAATTAAACAAAACTTGAATAATGTCAAATTTATATTGTATATACATAACGTTGTCATTTTTACATTCTGTAATTTTTATAATTTAAAGTACCCCGATATTTTTATTTAACTAACGATTTTCTCTCGCGCAAACAATATTACAAAGAATATTATCTAAGAAGAAAAAATCAATTACCTTAACAAATTTAATTTGTGCAAGCTTTATTTAAATCACATTTTATTCTGTAAATTATAAAAATTTATAATCGATTTTTATTACACGGAAAAAAAAAATGTATCAACAGCATCAGTGTTATTGAGATAAAATTGATTAATGCAACATCAAAATTAATGAATAAAAAACATCAGATAATTGTTTTAATGATTTAAATATTTGGTCTAATAATGTCCAGCTGAATTAATTACTTATGCTTGTGGCAGCCCGTGACGTCGACGTTTAATTAAAGTAACCATTTTTTTCCGTGTAGATAGTATACTTTGATATTATTGTTGCATAGAATACATAAAAGTGAAATAAGACATCGATGCGCTTTTAATAACTGTAATAAAATATGTCTTTTTACATTATCAGTGGAAGAGTGAATAGTCATTTTTAAGATACTGTATGAATCTAATGATTATTACTGTGGCGAAACATTCTAAAAATGCCACGAATATTTGGCTGACATTTAAAGCAAAGGCTTTGCTGTTTCTTCATAATATAAAGAGTATCAACTTTTGTGTGTGCACAGGAACTACATACCATCGAACATTTGTATCTATAAAATGATGACAACAAATGAAAAGAATTTCGTTTACTGACAAAATGATCAACTGTATAATGCCTAAGTACTTGCTGATATTTTAATTATCGTCAGTTCTAATTGCAGAGAGAGAGAGAAATTGTACGTATCCTATGCGAAATTTAGGATTGAGATGTTGTCAAATATAATTGTTTTGGTAAATTGACCAATAAAAAGTCATGCAATTAATCAAAATTTTTCTTCCCTTCCTCTTAAAAGATAATTATTATAATAATTCCAATATTTGTATAATTATACTAATTATTAATATTTGATTTCACTACTTGAATATGTACAATACAATTAATGATATACAATATGGACATTATATAAAACAATTTCTTACGCTGCAATATATATGTCGTTATTGTGATCCATGACTTCTTCTTGTCCGGTATAGTTAGCTTGGACGTTCTCTCGTCCTTAATTATAATAAAGAAAATCGATTTTCTTTAGATTTTCTTGAAACTGTGAGTATACGTTGCTGCTCTCGTCGAGTTCTATAAGGAAAAAATGCCAAAACTAAAAAAAAATTAAATTAAAAATTTTTTTTTGAAACTTTGAGGCTCAGTATATATCTTTATTTGTTATACCGGAAGAGGTACTGAAATTTAGACCACGCATAAAGCACATCCAAATTAACGTATATTCACAGTTTCAAGAAAATCTAAAGAAAATCGATTTTTTCTAGTATAAGGACGAGAGAACGTCCTTAAAAACATGTATAAAAGAATGACTGACACAATCAAAAGATGAAATACGAATCCTTTTTTATTTCCGAGCAAAACACACTGAAAAATCTGAAATATTACGATTATGATCAAAGTTCTAGTTATATTTAATAATTATTTATTTTATATGCAAAAATAGGTTATTATATAAAATTACAAATAAATAATAATATCCATAATTTTTTCTCTTTTCTCTATATAAAATTACAAATAAATAATAATATCCATAATTTTTTCTCTTTTCTCAAAAATTTTGATTAATTAAAAATAATTTAACACTTTTTTCAATTACTTTTGTAATTATTGATTATATTATTCTTTATCTGCAAAGTATTGAAATATTATGAGATAATTTACAGAAGTCATTGATTAATATGTTTAAAAATGTAAGAGAAAATTTACTGTAAAAAGATTGAGACTCAAAGAAATTACATTAATCGCTATTAAGAAGAAGAAGGATCCCCTAAGGTGATCCTAAAGCCGTGATCCTAGCCGGTTTTTTTTCAGTTTTTTTCTTAGCACTAATCTTTTAATTGGCTTTATAGAAATGCAAAATTCTTGTCTAGAATTAAAGTACGCATCAAAATCTAAATCATGGTGGTCGAATTTATATGTGGTGGTCGTCACGTATAACAAAAAATATTAATTTTTTTTCGTTTTTGATATAACGTCGACCACCATGACCTAGATTTTGATGCGTACTTTACGTCTAGACAAGAATTTTGCATTTCTATAAAGCCACGTACAAGATTAGTGCTAAGAAAAAAACCGAAAAAAACCGGCTAGGATCACGGCTTTAGGATCACCTTAAAGCTGGATAATAAAAATTGAGAATTCCTTAAAAAAGTAAAATATTATGACAAATACGTACTATGTAAATAATATCATGTATAAATACCAACTTTAAAGCTTTGCGTTGAATGTCAACGGCACAAATTATTTTCTTGTACATCATAATCTCGTTTCTTGTACTGATATTTTTGCAGAGCATTTTTATCGTCATCGCTTGCTCGATACGATAAATTATATAAATTAATTTTAGGCTATAAATACATAGTTCTCCGTAATTTGTTTGTACGGAGGCATTTGATGCAAAATAAGTCTTATTTTTAACTATATAACTTTTGTATTTTTTCGTAGATTTGTTTTTTACGTACCTGGCAATTTTGAACATCCGTAAGCGTGTATGAGATATCCTCTGAGTAATGTCCCTGTTGTTGTCACTGTAGTTGCTCCTATACATATGACTGCATTTGAATGCAACAAAATTATGTAGAAATATTTTTCTTGATCAATAAAATATTCAGTCATGAAATGTAGTAGTACTCGACCTAGCTGAAATCCATTTATATGCAAAGCAATATCAAGAACTGGCGTCAAAATTGGCAATAAAATAACGATAAATAAACAGCACATGCTGAACACTAAGAGCATTTGAAAAAAATTACTATATAAATTTTGATTTTTTTCCGAAATATTATAAGTAATATACTTCAAATTTCTGTGCTGTATAATGTTTTTCAGTACGATAGGTATTTTATGCAAATGATGACTGCAAAAAATTCTTACGTTTTAAAATGAAACGTGTATAATTATATTCCATATAGTAAAAATATTCTTTGACTTTTTAAAATTATTTTTAAATTATATCTTTACATTTTAGAAATATGTCGATTATATTTAGTGTAAGTATAAAAAATAATAATGTTTAAATAGTCATGTTTATTTGGTCATTTAATATTTCTTATAATTAATTCACTTAGCTTTATATTAACATGTGTTATCTTACATATAATTACAACTGTATAACGTTTCACGCTGTTTCCATATTCTTTCATAATATTGATCTCGTTCTCATCTTTCAATTTATTACAAATTTCCTGTAGTCGCTCCATTAAACGCTTTACTTATTATAATATTTAACGCGTTTCTTATTGAAAAACTTAGAAAGGATTATTATATGTAAAAATTTATTTATGAAGTATGTTTTTTTGAATGCGCAAGCTTACATTATGCGTATTCATCCAAAATGCGTTATAATTTATAATGTACGTACTGCAAAAGATCACGTTAGATAATAAAACTTTTATTATAAGATAAGGAGTACATTCTGTGGCCAAAAATGTTGTAAGCTACAATTAATAAATTTACTGAATAGATCACAAAGCTAATCTCTTATTCGATTAGCAAATTACAAGTTAAGAATGATTAATTATTTTGTAGTGCAAAATGATATAATGAAAGTTTTACAATTCTAGTAGGTGTATCTCACAGTGTGTTGTTAATATTAATATTTGGAGTTGGATAAAAGTTGTGAGAAGATAATAGTATATTGTGCACCAAGTAGGCGAAAGAGGGTTTTTCAAACGAGTGTGAAGTTTTCCGCCCGAGCCTTCGGCATGATATTCTTCACAATACCTTTACGGAAAGTTCGACTTCCATGCCTAGAGACAGGCGAGAGTGGCCCCTTTCACGTCAGGGCTTACTTTCTTCTCTAGGGAAGAAAATTGATACTTTCCACCCGGCATAGCGGGCGGAAAGTGGTTACTTTCGTTCCTCTCTACAGACATAGAAAGTTGAACTTTCCGTGGAAATGTTGTGAAAATAATTATTGTGATCAGTAACTTATGGAGTGACTTATAATGGTACAATTAACAATGCGGTATAATATAATGGTGTATAATTAAAAAAAATGTAAGATATAACATGAAATATACTTACTTGGAAAATAATACAACTTGTCAGAATAGTGAGACACAAGGTTATTTGATATCGAACAAGATTCGATTGATGATGGGGCTATAATAAGCCAAGAGCAAGAAGAAGAACCCGATTGAGATAAAAGTATTTAGTTTCGATACAGATCATTACTCTAGAAGCATGCGTTGACTGTGAAAAAGTCAGTGATGGTTTGTGCACACGCACATTTTTCTCCTTTTATTGAATACTTTATAACTTACTACTTTCTTATAAGTTGCATCATAAATTATCTAATCTAGCATAAGCGTAGTAAAAATTAACGAAAAATATTACTCTGAAATTGGAACATTAGCAATTGAACAATTTTACTGGAGAAGGGGTCGGCGATTAAACGATCAATATAATATGGGCAATTGAACTCGCATTTCTCATAGAAATATACTTGCGTATTCCCTGACAGAGAGCCGCACAAGCATTTCGCCAATTTTCGATAACGCAATAACATGTCTCTTCGTTGCATGATGCGTGCTCTCATATAAGTTATATTAAACCATTTAGAGAAATGGTTATCGCTTTATAGTCTTACATATCGCACCCCAAAAAAAATACTGTCACAACTCAAAAAATTTCGATTTTGAATTACGTATACCATAAAAAGTATGCCTAAGACGTTCCCTACACATGCTATAATAGTGTTACAAATCTATATGCAAAATTCGCTGCACGAGAGCAGGTGTCATTATTTTTTCAAACCGATTAAGTTGCAATCGCTGGATGAATAGTGTCATAAGTGAATTGACAAGTGAATCACAGCAGACGTCTTAAAAAAAAAAAAAAAAAAAGAATATAAATTTTATTATAACAAAATGTCGTAATTGCAATTGCGTTAGTTGTCTCACAATTCAAAAAAAGTTGAATTACTTGTTTTTCTTCTCTCCCGAAAATTGTGAATTTTTGAATTGTGACACTGTTCTTTTTTATGGTGCAATATATATATATATGCAATTATTAATATATTATTGCTAACTTACTGTAAACACACACACACAAACACACACACACAACACACACACACACACACATCACTGCTATAAACACTTTTATATTTTCTTAGAATTAAGAGTTTTTACAATTTTATCGAGATTATTAGTTAATACAACTTTTTAGATTATAGTATGTTATTTGTTTTAGTGTGTTAATTAGTTTTTTCACTATCATTATTCCACTACACTGTATCAATTGATTTGCTTTACATCAATTCTGCATCGAATGAAGAATGTTGAAATACGACACTGATGCCGTGCTCAGTATAATAACACATAACTTTTTATTTTTATCTATCTATAAAATATATTTTACATTCAACACTATTTTGAAAGATATTCTTCTTACCGTAGCAGCACCTTCTAACTTTTCCTACAAATAGTCGAGCAATATTCATAGTGAACGCCTTGGTACCGCCTCATCTTTGCAAGAGGAACAGGATTATTTTTTGTATTATGGTTATAGCAAATAATCTTTCATATTTTAAGAATATAATTCTATTACATTTTCAGATTCTCCACTGATAAGAAACTGAAAGAAAAATGGATAAATGCATTAATTGTTTTAAACAAACAAAGTAATGCTTGTAGTCCCTCAAAATACAGTAGAATCTGCATCAAACAATTTCGACTGCAAAGTGTTCGTTTGAAAAAGAATGCTGTCCCAAGTGTATTTCCCAATGCAGAACAAAGGTAAAATATAATAAAAACTATTTACAATAAAACATTCAGTTTTTTATTTCTTTCTGTTTATTACTAAAAAATATTTTAATTTTAACGCAATATATGCTTTAACCCGTTGACTGTGTATGACGGCTATATAGCCGCAAAAACAAAAGATGGTGAACTATGCCTGGTCAGGACAAAGTCAGGGGAAACCCTGATGGAGGTCCGTAGCGATTCTGACGTGCAAATCGATCGTCGGAACTGGGTATATAGGGGCGAAAGACTAATCGAACCACCGTGGCCAAGAGTGTGTATGACGGTTATAGCCGCAACGTAGAAAAAAACAAAGTAAAACTTTCTGAATTTGCTTGAAACTTGTTACTCGGGGGTTTCTGGGGTTGCTGATTACGAATCCGAAGTCAGATGTACAAAATTCAAAATGACGGATCCAATATGGCGGATCAAAATTACCAAAAAAGGTCTGATTTTCATTAAATTTGGTACCCTTATGTTTTTTGGGTCTCTGAATCCGAATATGAAGTCATTTTCAAAATTCAAAATAATAATTAAAAAATTCTGCCTATTTTTTGTAATTTTGATTCGCCATATTGGACCCGCCATTTTGAATTTTGTAAATCTGACATCATATTCGGATTTAGAGACCCAAAAAACATAAGGGTATCAAGTTTCATAATAATCCGATGAACTTTTTTTTCAACACACTTTTGGCCCAAATAGTAAAATTCTCTTACACAGCCAATGGGTTAAGATACTTTTTATAATTTGAATATATAAATAAAATATGCATTAAATATATATTATTCTCTTTTTTTTCTTTAATTAATCAAATTGTTTATTAATTGAATATTTTTACAGTAAGACAATATCTGAAAATGAAGATAATTTAAATCCTAACGAAATTGAAGAAATTGAGCAATTTCAAATAAACCAGTTAATTATATTCAAGATAAATATTCAGTTAAATTGAAGCTAGTGAAATTAATTTAAATAAGCTACAAGAAAATATTGAAAAAGAAATACCCACATAAGTACAGTCATCATTGTAGCGAAGAAACTGATCGTATTCTCTTCCAATATGCAAGTTGAGGAATGCATTGTGGATAAAAGTGTTGCAAAGTTTACCAAGAAGATTAGATATCCTGGAGAGATAACGGACCCACGGAGAAACGCGAGATACGTCTATCAGATGTCGAAGCTAAATCTAGTCTAAAACAACGTCTAGAAATATCTGAATTAGATACCATGTAATTTTGTGTCATTTTAATTCTTTTGACACAATTAAAACCTAATAATCTCACAATAACGGTGCATTGTTTATAAAACACTCTTTGAT